TATAGAAGGTGAACCAAGGTTTGAGAGTTAAAGAGATTTGCCCAATAATTTAGTTATTGGTCAAATTGAGAATAAGAACACATTACATTTAAATTCTAATTAATTTCCCATTCTTCTACATCATCACTTTCTAAGGTAGCAAGAACACAGTATGTCTTTTCATTCTCAAGTCAAAGTATTCATAATTTAAACAAAAGAATGTAATTTTCCACAAATTTCCCCTGAAGTAGCATGTTCAAGTTTATAGAATTTACATGCTGTCCAAGAACCCCATTGACTTCCCTTTTTCTTCTATGTTCTGATGATCCTCATTGTGATTGTCAACAATATGGGATGCCATTTACTTTGTTCCAATGGGAATGTCTAGTGGAAGGTATTAATAATTCCCATTGGAAGTTGAATCTTGCGTATTGATTGCTAAATCTCAAAAGCCTCAAATGGTCACTTAGCTAAATCCATGTTCTCTTCTAATTTGAAAATGCAAGAGGCACCTATATATAACACTACGTGAAAAATGTTAATCTCACATTATAAAAATTGAAGAATTTAGTTTACATTTCTGATATGCATTATAACAGGTAGGTTATTCCTGATAAGGGCATACATCATAAATAGGTGTGTCAATTGCATATGCAGTTTATTTATTATCTTGTACCTTTGAGTGGATTCATAAAATGAAGAAAAATGTTTTTGATGTAAAAGAAAGTAAGCCACAATGAAGAAGTTTATGTTTCTGTGTTTTAGCATACTTGGGAGAATCTGCCAAAAATTCTATAAGATGGTGAGGTATTCTTGGGGAAATTATGAAACATTATGATTGTACTTTGAAAAATACATTATGACATTTTTGTCCATCATCTAAAAAATGAGATAAGCATACAAATCAAGATTATATATCTTTTTTTGTAGAGTAAGGTTATTAAAAAATAATGACAATGTTAAATACCAATATCAGGGAGTAGGTTTATAGTTATAGTATGTTTGATTCAATAATTTGTTTTACTTTGTATGTAAAAATGGATTAGACAGTAGTTTCAAAATCAGTATCTCCTCATTTTTATCACTTTTTAGTAACTTGGTAATCTAAATAATTTTTACTTCTGATACAATAAACAAATGCTTTTCTCAATGTTGCAATTTAAATAGAATATTTAATTTATTTTTTATTTTCTAGTTAACTATTGGCATTGATTTTAACGATTTAAGTATGGTCTTGCATTATCAATGAGATGAAATTTTTTGTTCCATGTAAATATGGAACTTCTGTAGGTTAACCAAGGATTCTGTGCATGAGAAAATTAAAACGTGGAAATATTGAGTCAATGACAGAGATGAGATAAAATCTATTTGAGGTGAGACACATTTATGGAGAATTTACTCCTGCATATCTTTATACAAAATTCTGAGAATAATGCAAAGAAACACGAAAATTCAAGAAATTCTTAATGTTCTAGGGAAATGATATGTACAAAAAATTCTCTTTTCTTGGGACAATATATAAGCAAAGTTGTACAACACTATTAGGAAACAGAAATTTCAATTTTTAAACCTTTGGGAAAGCTTTGGAGGAGATGGCATCTGTGAAGGATGTAAGATCCTTATGACTTAAAAAATAGAAGTAATATATTAGTAAATATTTAATAGTCTGTGGCTAGGGAATAGGATATGGTATAGGCAAAACCACATTATTATGCTTGGCTGTCACAGGACTTTAGATTTAATATTTTTTGACTTAAAGAAATAATGGGATGTTACAAGTGTGAGATCAAGGAAAGCTTTTTTCCTTATAGTTGCATGATTCAGAAAAAATTAAAGGAAAAAAAAGACTGAACTGAGATGGGAAAGCATAATCTGAGATCTGAAGTAGCTTTTTGATATTCACATCCACAAAATTTTCAGAAACATATTTGAGATACTGGAGTGAGGTGAGGAATGGTGCTGTAATATTAGAGGTTGTCACATGAACTTGGTGATTGACACCACAGAGGTGAATAGAATATCCAAGAACAAGGAGAGAGAGAAAAAGAGAGAATAAAAGTTCCAGGAGATGAATATTTCTTGCACTTAAAAGAAATGCAGAGAGCAAAGGAAAAAAATGTGGAAAATCCAGAGGCTAGAACCTCAGTGAGAAACAGCTTGAGTGGAAAGAGGCAGGGATATGGCATGTGATTTAAATGTTCCTTGAGGAAAACCTGGAGTTGGTTCACTGGTAGGTATAACAAACTTAGCTATTATTACCAGGTCTTAGAGGACATTTGATAAAGTAATTTCCCTGACTGCGGCAGGAAAGTCATAGTTGAGTCTGTTAAAGTTTTGAGTAATAGAAAAGAACACAAAGGAAACATGTAGTAGATATTTCTTCAAGAAATTTGGAGGAGAAATTAGGAACAAAAATAAAAGGCGATAGATGAGTTTAGGAGATGTTTATTTTTTATATTCTTAATTTGTTTTTTATCTGAGCAGCTTGTCAGTGGATTAAAAAGTTTAAGTGACAGATGGAGAGACTGAAAATGCAAGCTGAAGACAGCTTAATTTTATAGTTCTTAACTTGGGGTTATTATGAACCACAAATGGACATTTAGTAAGGCCTAGAGACATTTTTGGTTTAACTTGGGAGAAAGTGTGATTGGTATCTAGTGAGCAGTATGGGAGATGCTACTGGACACCTTACAGTCACAGGACAGATCTCCATCAGAAGAAATACTCAACCCCTAACATGAGGGTGCCAATGATGAGAAATCCTGACTCAACTGAAGAGTCAATGTCTCAGAGTAGGTGGAAAGATTATAATCAAGAGCATATATTGAAGGGCTTCCCAACTGTATTGTAATGTAAATGGATTTCATATCATTCTGAAACAATGTAATGCAGTGTTGTAGTGTGGACACAAGAACAGGGGTTCAAATTCTAGCTCAATGACTTCCAAATATGTAACTTTATAAAAGTTATTTACCATCTCTGTAGCTATGACTTACTACTTTAAATAGAATTATTAAGTGTATTTTGTGAATAGTGTTATGGAAAGATTCAATTAATGTAGGCAAAGTGCTTAGAAGAATGACTGACACTGTGCTGCTGTGTAGAAAATGCAAGATACTGTTTTCATTATATGACTTCAAATGCCCACCAACCTTTTAAAACATTTACTAAGTGTTTGGAGATGACTAAACTTGTTTTTCTCCCCTGTCGTTTGGAAGTAATAATGCCTTCACAACAGATATATTCTAAAGATCATTTGATAAAACAAACATAAACATTGAACATAGTAGGTGTTGCCGGGTGAAGTCTCAACAAATCCAAAATTTCTTTTTTTTTTTTGCCAATTTAAAAATCATGACTTGTAATTCACTAGATATCTGCCTGATTCTTTTAGTTTATATAAATTATGTTCATATAGTAAATATTTTTTAGATAGAGTTGATCATTTTATATAATGATCATTTTATACATTCCTCTACTTTAGAAGTGGGGGAACAAAATGAGTTCCATATGGAACAAAATGGCAAAATAATTAGCATTCTATTTCAAAATCCATCCCCTCAATTACTGCTTTTATATAATATTATAAACACAGGTTCATTTTCACTAATATATTTATGCATATAGTGATTATTTACTTTTTTTGCTCAGTTCTAGAGATCACAATTATGTGTATTTAAAATTTGGGCTTAGTGAAATCCTTCCCTCAATATTCTACATTAAAAGTACATTAAATAGTTCTTTACTTGAAATCCTACAATTGCATATATGTCATAAGGGGCCAGAGCAGGATTCTAGAGACACAGCAGCAATTTTGGCTTCTTATATAAAATAAACAGACAGTGGAAGATACTTGTGTTCTTACACAGGGCTAGAATTGCATCACACTTAGGTTCCTTATGATGACTGTTGTCAAGAATGTATTTCAGAGCTAGCACAGTTTACTAAAATAGAGCTTGTTGAAAGTTGTTCTAGCACCTGAACTAGATTTATATAGTAGGAGTGTATCTTTACAGAGGACTAAAACAAGAGATACAAATCTGAACTAGTCATTAGTACTATTCTGACATCAAACATAAGTTTTTGAGGAATACAGTAGGTTTATAATCTAATTGTTTTACTTCTCAAAGCTAAAAATTAACCCTAAAAACAATACTATTCCTTTGATCATTATAAGAATGTCTTAAGAAGTTCATGAAGAAAACTTAAGCGTGGGGAACACAAGTGCACTTTATTTTTATAGGCAAAGAAAATGGAATATTTAGAAAATCAAGTTAAAGTGACTTTTAACTAATTAAAGTAAGCCATGATATGAACTTATGGAATTATTTGAATGATTAATTGACAAACTGTTGGAACTAAAAACCTGAATAATATGTTTACAATAGCATCTCTTTAGTAGAAATTGTCTAAATTGGATATATTCCTGCAACAGCAGTAAGATTAATTTTTGTTGTTATGGGATATTAAAAAGAATTAAAAAGATCCATTAAAATATGTGTATCTCTTGGAGAGTTAAAGAGAATCTTGCATTTAAAGACTTATTAAAATGAATGCTGGAAAATGATCATAAGGCCAACAGATCTGAATTGTCTTTGCCATTCTCCCAGGCCTATGGAGATGGGTTTTAAGTTACTGCTCTAGTCATGTTATCACAGATCAGCTCATGAATGAGCTTCTTTACTACTATGTAACACATAGAGACCATTCAGAAACTCTAGGGTTTCTGCCAAGACTGAACACATTACTAAGCATTATTTAGACATTCTCATAAGCTCCTTTCTACTCTCTCTCTCTCTCTCTCTCTCTCTCTCTCTCTCT